CCCTTTTACTACCACAAAACTTTACATTTTGCTGGTGCTTTTTAAGTATCCGAGCGGAGCGGAACTCCCGCCCACACCTACCACACTTTTGTTTGCAGTGCTCATGAACTTCTCGCTCATGACGGGTCAAGGACTGCTTATGCTTAAATTTCTTATTACATCTTTGACATTTCCATACGTCAGCAGCCGTCTTACCAGCACTCACCCGCGCCTGCCCACCCCCACTAGTCCCCGGCGCATGCGTCGACAGGATGTGCTGCATGTACTCACTAACAGGTATTCTGACACCGCACCACGCACACGCTTGCTCCATGGTACTGACCACACACCTGCCAGACAGAAAAGTTGCGCATGACACTCAGCACACACCCCTCTTCACGCACCACGCAGTCAACCACGTCAAGTCAGACTCACCTTCAGACCACATCCATCCAGCGCTAAGATCACTTCTCTCCCACCTCCACACACCTCCCCCGCACTTGAGCACACCAACCGCGCACACACCAATTCACACGCGCTGGCACCTACACCTGAAATTTCAATACACGTTAGAGCATCCTTTCAAACTAACGTAGCACACGGTCGTTCCCATATTAGCACTCACCTCACTGCCAGCGCACTGCTAGACACGTCGCAAGCACGCTCCACCCAGCATACGCATACACATCACATCCTATAATAAACATTACTTTTAGAACGTTTCCCCTTTCTTCACACTTTCACACAGGCAGATTCTTCTTGTTTTACCACTTACCTTTTTCCACTAATCCTTATCCCTTGACGTTCGTAGCCACCACACGTGGACACAGAGGCGCGCGCACACCACTGGTCGCTCCGTCACACCACCAAGCGTCCACCAAGACACTCACGGGGCCACTGGCGACTTCCCGTCCAGGAAACGCCGCCTGCCCCTCCCATATTGCACTTGTCAGCACCTGAGCCGCCCTGCGTGCGATGCACCTTGTCCGCGATCGCAAAGCTCCCTCGATGGGGAGTGAGGGAGACGGTGAGAGCGAGAGAGAGAGCGAGTGCGAGAGCGTGCGCCGCGCGCTCCCGCCCCCGTCCCCCGCCCCCGTCCCCCGGCGAGGTAGGCAACCCGCCACACGACGGCGCCCGCGAGGTAGGCAACACGCCGCACGTCGATTGATAACGCCCGCGAGGTAGGCAATCCCGTCATGCACCTCCCGCCGACGCCCGCAGGGTAGGCCACCCTTCATGCGCCACCCGCCAGCGCCCGCAGGGTAGGCCACCCTTCATGCGCCGCTGCGCTGCGGGCTCCAACCGACCATTGCCATTAGCATTAAGGGCTGGACCGCAACCACTGGCCTCGTGCTCCAACCGCCCGCAACCACTGGCCCCGTGCACGCGTATCTTACTCTCTAACGGCCGTATTCCTTGATTAAAGGGCTATAAAAAATAGAAAAAAATAGACTGGGTGCGTGGTATGCTGATATTTGAGTTGAATACGTTAACATACATAAGCCATGCAAGTTTCGTAAAAATCGGGAAACTTTTTTGGTATCTTTGATATCTTGGGAACGGTAAGTCCTAGATGAAATTACTTACCAGATTTGGATCCGGAACGGTGTTCGGACCCTAGAAAATCTACTAAGGGCTCCATAGAACTTCAAAGGGCGTAACAGGTACCCTCAAAGGTCGTCATGGGGACCTTCATGAACTAAGGAGTGAAGCCTAGTAGCGATATGGATGCTGCCGATGGCATCCACGAGGCTGCAGGATGCGGCCGAGATGTGGCTCTGACCCGCAGCTTCATACACTGTGGAAAAAAGCTACGGAAAATTCTGTACACAGCTTGTGGTAATTCTCCGTAGCCTACTTATCAATATTCTCCGTAGGCTCTTACAGTATTTATTTTCCGTAGGACCGCACAGTATTCTCCGTAAGACCTTACAGTGTTCTCCGTAGGACTTTACAGTCTTCCAGGTCCTACGGAGACCCGAGTAAAAATAGAAGGCTGCAGAAAGGCTGACGCACGGCTGACGCATGGCTGTATGGACCGTTTTTTGGCTGTATGCATGGCTGCCGTGGCTGCCTTGCAGCCATGTCGCAGCCATAGCGACGTCCTGGACTTGCAGCCATGCACGCTGCAGTGGCTGGTCTGGCTGTTTCACGGAGCGCTTTGGCTGTGAAACGCTTCAGAAGCTGCGCACAGAAGCCTTTTGGCTGCCCTAAGCAGCCTATAAACGCTGCCACGCACAGCCAACTTAGCTGCAATGGCTGTAGGCTGCGCGTCGCAGCGTGTTGGCTGCCGGCGCCAGCCGGGCCGTGGCTAGACGTTACAGCCATGTAGGCTGCCACGGCTGTAGGCTGCGCGTCGCAGCGTGTTGGCTGCCGGCGCCAGCCGGGCCGTGGCTAGACGTTACAGCCATGTAGGCTGCCACGGCTGTAGGCTGCGCGTCGCAGCGTGTTGGCTGCCGGCGCCAGCCAGGCCGTGGCTAGACGTTACAGCCATGTAGGCTGCCACGGCTGTAGGCTGCGCGTCGCAGCGTGTTGGCTGCTGGCGCCAGCCGGGCCGCGGCTGGACTTTACAGCCACGCGAGGTGCAATGGCTGTAGGCTGCGCACTGCGCGTCGCAGCGTGTTGGCTGCTGGATGCAGCCGGGCTACGGCAGGACTAAACAGCCATGTAGGCTGCAATGGCTGTAGGCTACGGATTGCAGCATGGTGGATGCTGGCGGTATTCAGGCAACGGTCGTATTCCTTGATTAAAGGGCTATAAAAAATAGAAAAAAATAGACTGGGTGCGTGGTATCCTGATATTTGAGTTGAATACGTTAACATACGTACATAAGCCATGCAAGTTTCGTAAAAATCGGGAAACTTTTTTGTTATCTTTGGTATCTCGGGAACGGTAAGTCCTACATGAAATTACTTAGCAGATTTGGATCCGGAACGGTGTTCGGACCCTAGAAAATCTACTAATCGTCTAAAAAGGGCTCCATAGAACTTCAAAGGGCGTAACAGGGACCCTCAAAGGTCCTCATGGGGACCTTCATGAACTAAGGAGTGAAGCCTAGTAGCGATATGGACGCTGCCGATGGCGTACACGAGGCTGCAGGATGCGGCCGAGATGTGGCTCTGACCCGCAGCTTCATAGCTGCCGGGGGCAGCGTGGGCCGGGCGAAAGAAGGCTGCCTGGAGCATCCTGAAGGCTGCGGGGTGCAGCCTACAGCAGCGCCTCACAGCCTCCAGGCTTCCGGGGACAGCGTGGCCCGGGCGAAGGAAGGCTGCCTGGGGCATCCTGAAGGCTGCGGGGTGCAGTCTAGAGCAGTGCCTCGCAGCCTCGTGGCTCGCGAAGGAAGGCTGTCTGGCGCATCCTGAAGGCTACGGGGTGCAGCCTAGAGCAGCGGGGCAGCGCTGACTGAGCTCCAAAGGGACACTTCAGTGGCTGGCAGGTGCAGCCAGAGAGGCTGCACCGGCTGCGGATGGCTGTATTTTGGCTGACGTATGTCCGAATACAGCCAATGTCTGCAGCCATCCGAGTTCCATCCGCGCGTTGTAAGCAACCTGGAGGGAGCCAGCTTGCAGCCAATCTGCAGCCTATAATTTTCTCTCGGGGAAGGCTGTGCGGACTTACAGAGAATACTGTACGGCCCTACGGAGAATACTGTAAGAGCCTACGGCAGCGGTTCCCAACCTTTTTCGGCTCGCGACCCAAAAATGGCTTCCAAAAATTTTCGCGACCCCACAGCCAAAATGTCGCGACCCAACGCGACCCATGACCCCCCCCTCAAAAAAAATCCAAATTTTTTTAAATGTTTTAATTGTTTCTTGTTAAGCTTTGTGTCTTATATATGTTGTAAATGAAAGAAGGTTAGTTTCTCATTGCTTTATTGGACTATCAGTGGCTGCCCTGGGCCTGCATACTCCGCACCAGCTTGTCGATGCGCGGTAAGGTGTTTTGCGTCACCGCCACGCTTAGGTCCCCTTCAACATTCAGCCTGTTTCTGTGCTTGTTTTTTATATAGACCATGTCAGAGAATGTTGACTCACAAAGGTACGCCGCCCCGGGCCCCAGTTACTACGCCGCGACAACAGTGGAACCTTTCTGCAAGCGACTGTACTCAATAACTGATGTCAAGGTCCCCTTTTCCGTGTAAATCCATCTTCCCCCTTTAAGCCGTAAACAGATGCTAGGACGCATCCCACTGCCAAGGCAGACACAAACAACTCTGGGATTTCCCTTCGCGGAAGCGCCAATACCGTAGGCTGCTAGGGGCCGCTGGCGACCCAGGTATACGCTTCGCGACCCAAGGCGACCCCCGCCACCACGCCGCGACCGAAAAAAAAATTTCCGCGACCCAAAATTGGGTCGCGACCCCAAGGTTGGGAACCGCTGGCCTACGGAGAATATTGATAAGAGGGCTACGGAGAATCCTGGCAAAAAAATTAACAGAATTTTCCATACCTTTTTGCCACAGTGTAGCTGCCGGGGGCAGCGTGGGCCGGGCGAAAGAAGGCTGCCTGGAGCATCCTGAAGGCTGCGGGGTGCAGCCTACAGCTGCGCCTCACAGCCTCCAGGCTTTCGGGGACAGCGTGGCCCGGGCGAAGGAAGGCTGCGGGGTGCAGTCTAGAGCAGTGCCTCGCAGCCTCGTGGCTCGCGAAGGAAGGCTGTCTGGCGCATCCTGAAGGCTACGGGGTGCAGCCTAGAGCAGCGGGGCAGCGCTGACTAGCCTCCAGAGGGACACTTCAGTGGCTGGCAGGTGCAGCCAGAGACGCTGCACCGGCTGCGGATGGCTGTATTTTGGCTGACGTATGTCCGAATACAGCCAATGTCTGCAGCCATCCGAGTTCCATCCGCGCGTTGTAAGCAACCTGGAGGGAGCCAGCCTGCAGCCAATCTGCAGCCTATAATTTTCTCTCGGGTCGATGCGGAGAGCGAGGCTTTTTGAGATCCCCGGGCTGTTGCCGCCTCCTGGGTTAACGTTACACTGGTATTTCAGCGGTGCAAGTTTGTTTACTTTGATCCTTTTTTCGTAGGTGGGAACAATGAATGGCGCAAGTCTACTCCAAGGGATTACGGGTTCAGGAGGCTAGAAAGTCTGGCCATGGACGATGGATTAACGATCATGAAGAAACTGTCCGACGAATCTACACTTGCCCTTTTTGGGCAGTTGACCTGCAAAGAAGAAATGAAAGAGGATTGGATGCGCCATGTGGTGACAGTGTTGTCAAAGGTGTGCCAAGTTGAATACAAACCTATACTCTTGAGGCTCATTCAAAGGATTTGTCAGAAACAGTTCATCGATCAGCTGCTTTTGCATATAACACGCTTGCCTGATGACAACGACATTCATCGAAAGGAGAATCTATGTGCATTTTTTGATCAGCTGTGCACTTTTTGTGAAGCTCTCTTGAAACTCATGCCTACTCTCGCCTGTGGAAATCTCGGCATCATCCTGAAAGCGGCTTCCCGTGAAATAGAGGCCTTGCCCCCCTTTTCTGGCAGTGAAGACATCACGAAGAAACTGAGTGCTCTAATGGTCAAATTTAAGACCGAAACTGAAAGATTGGAAAGCCTGAAAACTGCGCCCAAGCTAGAAAATGGCTTTTCAACGAAGCCACCATCTGATTTTAGAGAACTGACTCATTTTCCGACCTTGGAAGACATTGTTGTTGATAACCACATGAAGCCTTTTCTACGTCCCAACAAGGTTGACCCAAAAGTGCACGGCACCTACGAAAATGTTGATGACTACTTAGACGTTCAATTTCGTTTGATGAGAGAGGACTTTGTTAGACCTCTGAGGGAAGGTGTTTCAAGGTTTCGTGAGTCACGTGATGCCAGACAAAACTGTAATAACAAGAGGCCATCTCGCATTCAAAATATTCGGGTCTACGAAAATGTGAGAATGCTACACGTTGAGCGAGATAATAGTGGTAACGTTGGAATTGTCCTGGACTTTGATCCACAAAAGAGGTACGCTTCCAATATTAAATGGGAGTACTCCAAACGGCTCATGATTGGTTCCCTTCTAGTGCTCTCCGAAGATGAACAATTTTCCAAAATTGTTTTAGTGACAGTAACTAAACGAGATATAAGAGAGCTTCAAGGAGGGAGGGTTATGGTCGAGCTATGTGAAGAATCATTAAGTGACGGGCTCTTCCGACGCCAGTACCTAATGATTGAATGTCAGGTTTTCTTTGGCACGTACTGTCATGTATTGAAGGCGCTGAAGAATTTCAATGAGAGCTCATTTCCCTTCGTGGACTACATAGTGCACGCATCGAACGTGAAGCAACTGCCAGATTACCTAGTACGAGCATCGGAGGCCAACAAAGGGTTTCAATTATTTCCAGACAACCAATTACGACCACTGAACTCCCACAAGCACAAACGGTTTGACAGGCTTCATGTTGATTTATATGATGATCATTTATATTCTTATTCACCACATTCTCCACCGTATTCACCTCAAGATTCATTATCTGATGATTCTTCATCTGATGATTCTACGATGTCTGCTGAGAACGTCTCCGTGGATGTGAAGAACCTGGAAACTTGTTCCTCTGCCCGTGAGCTGGGCCTGGACGATTCTCAGTACCAGGCCTTCTGCGGCGCCTTGACGAACAAGATAATGCTGATCCAAGGGCCACCCGGCACTGGGAAGACCTTCATCGGGCTGAAGATAGCGGCCGCCCTCTTGCAAAACCAGCAATTGTGGCGGCCTAGTGAAGACCCTCGGCCGATGCTTGTCGTGTGCTACACTAACCATGCGCTAGACCAATTCCTCAAGGGTCTGAAGACCTATGAGAAGAGCATTGTTCGAGTGGGAGGAGGATGCAAAGAGCCTAGTCTCATGCAGAACTCCATCAATGTCCTGCGACAAAGTAAACGACCCTTCCTCCACAACATGCGTCAGCAAAAGTCTAAGCTCCACAGGCTCAAGGATTTGGGACATAGTATTCGTACATGTGCCTCACGGCTGAAGGAAGGCGCTGCTGGAATTGTTAGTGTTGAGACGTTCCAGTCGCATTCTATTCTTACCGACGTCCGTTTGACAGATAAGGACATGATATTGTGGCTTTGCGGCTTTGGCGAATATGGACGCATTGATGGACCATTCCCAGAGAGCCTTGTGCATAATGAGTATCAAGACGATCCTGCTTTCTGGCCTTTGGAAGTCCCAACCGAAGACCTACCAAAAGTGATTTTGTCGTGTTCGTTTCGTCTATGGGAGCATTACCTCACGGGCCGAGATCAAGCCCATCAAATGAAGATGGAAAAGCTGCTGGGCAGATTGAAACAACAAATAAGTGCTTCTCAGTACCCTCGTTACCCGGAGCATCTTGTACGCCAGCCACACCCTTCTCAATTCTGGCGGCTGCCGTACAACGATCGCTGGCGATTATACAGGTAAAATTTTCTTTTCTCATACAAGTCTCCACTACTCACGGAAAAAAGGAATTCACTGACCCAACGAAAATGTGCGTTGATTCCGTGATAACCGAAAAAATTTGTTGGAGTTACGAAAACTTTGTTTGAGTCACGAAATTTTTGTTGGCAAAACTAACAATCTTTTAGCGCAACCAAAAGATCCTTCTTAGGAACAAAGTCATGATTTTGTCACTCCAACTAACTTTTTTGCTCCGCCAACGAATTGTTCGTCATACCCACAAATTATTCGTTACGCGAACAAACTTTTCGCTACTCAAACAATTTTTTTCTGTGTTAGTGATGATGTTGATAGTGACCAAATGGCCTCTACTAACGTCTACTAACGCAATTGAACGGAACAAACACGTCTTTAGTGTTTTTTGATCAGTATTTGCTTTTTGGAACCTGGCCCGGCCTCGCTGGTGCAAGACTGCGGCCGTGGTGATAGTGAATGATGTTGATAGTGACGAAATGGCCTCTACTAACGTCTACTAACGATTTTAGGACGTTTTCTCTTTTGGTCCGTTTTTTGGAAGTAACTGAACATGTGAATGTGGCCCGCCTTTTGGGTATTTTTTTAAAACGCACTTGGGTGTGTATACTAACGGCCGCATTGGGTCTACAATCACGTACTAACGATATACTAACGATTGCAGAAGGAAATTTGTTGCAGGCTGTGTGTGGGCGGGCTACCTTCACGTACCTCTTCCCTTGACTCTTCATACTGAATGTCATGGGACATTTTTTGTCCCACGAGTAATGCAATTTTAAGCACATCCGACGGTGATGCAATTTTGTGTTCAAATTGGGTGGGACAAAGTGTGTAATGAAAGTACAATTTGCAGTAGGCGTCGGACAATGTGTGTCGCCAGGCGGGAACAAAATTGTATCTCCGTCGGATGTGCTTAATTGCATAACTGGTAGGACAAAAAATGTCCCATGACATTTAAGGCCTGTTGATGTCCCTCTGAATCTCTCAGTGTTCTGAATTCAACCTCTGCTCGAATCATTTAAATGTTTTCCAGGTTTCCTTGTTGAGCACTGATATATTTGTAGTCCACTCACTCACTGCATGCCTGGCTGGCAGGCATTTGTTTTTTGCATACTCGGCGAGCAAAAAATTAGTGCATACCTGCCAAGCAAAATTCTTTTCTTAAAAAAAAAAATTAAGGCGCAAGTCTATTAGAGTTTGTTCTCTGACAGTTCTAGCGGTTTTTGGCTCTTGTTTCAAGGCACTGGAGAGACTCCCTGGTGGCTGCATTGGACGTTAAATTCAGGCCGGTCCTGGCGAGAATCGAGGCAGCTCTCAGTGCCACCGCAAACGAGCTCTCTTCGTGGAGGATGGTGGAGGACCAGCTCATTATGGCTCAGTATGCTGTCGTAGGAATGACCACATCGTTTGCTGCTTCCCGTCAGCAGATCTTGAAGGAGCTCAAGCCGAGGATTGGTGAGTGCATACAATCGGCAACATTCTAAGCCAGTCTATGGAAGCTCATTTTGTCCACAGTAAATTAAATGGCAACAGTATTGACTGGGATTCCCGTCGCTCCTGGAAAATAAATCCATTTTTCCAGGCTGGGCCGAGGAATTTCCAGCCACTGCTTTTGCCGTGGAAATAACCGCCAAGTAAGACAGTCTCACGCTTGCAGGCGTGGGACGTTTTGTCCCACACTCGCTGCCTGTGGTGCCTCTGTGGTTCAATGCCACGGGTCCCACTCTAGGGTAAAATTCAAAGGGATTGACACGACCTGAACCTCATGTCATCAGAACTTGATGAAAGTTGGCTCAAATGTTACCCCCATAGGGGTAAGTAACCCCACAAGATTTGAACCCTCTCACTCAACTACCATGGGCGCAGTGAGCAATCCAATTTTCGCCTGAAATTCATTTTCACCTTTTTCAGCAAAATGCACATTTTTGGAAAAGCCGTCGCGCTCGCCGCCCCGACGGCCTTTCTTCAGCCTAATCGACGTTCCTAGACTCAAAATTGTCTGGGGAATCCGAATCTGGCGTCGGTTTTCCGATAGCGTTCCGATAAAAATAAAAAAATGGCACTTTTTTACGGAAATTTAGTTATTTTAGGGGTTCACGCGACAGGCCGTATCCACTAGCCCCCAATCGAAACATGCCCGTTTCAACTTTTTTTCAGTTAAGGGACACCATAAGCTTAATTTTAAGATGGGCCCCGATATTGTGTATGGGTCTCGTTTAGGAGCTAGCCCTATGCCCAACTTTTGACTTTTTCCCAAAAACTTGTTTTTCTATGAAACCTTTAAAAAGGCATGGCCTCCTCAAAAAACGTCCTAGGCGGCAAATAAAGTAGTCTAACGGACGCAGAATTTCCCGAGGATCACGATGCTGCACGTGCATTTGAGTTTTGGGGCCTCAAACACAGTCAAAACTCCAAGAAACAACAAATTTATGTTAAATGCCACAAAATGTTGAACGGCAATTACGACCCTTTTCCCGTCGCAAGGCCGCTTTGCCGTTGCCTACTCGGACTCCTTGGAGTTTCCACTTTGAGAATAAGCAGGAAAGGGTCAGCAGCCCACACTGGAAACTGCGGAATTCCCCGTTAGGGCGAGGCACGGCGCCGCCCAGGTGGGCAACCAGTTTGACGCACCCCTCGGCCACAGGCGGTGGAGGCCGCGCGCGCCGCCCGGGTAGTCATAGGCGGTGGGCCTAACGGAAAAAAGCTGTACGTCATGACCAGATATTGAGCTTTTGCACAGTTGTAGTAAGGGAGAGTGGGGTAATTCCGGACACTTCGATTTTCACTGGGTTTGAGTGAAGATAACTCAAAAGCCCGCCTAACAGAGGAAGATAATCAGTTAAAAATGATAATTCCAAATCGCCAAGGTAGGAGGTCAAACCGTTTGGCTGTGGTCGCTTCACGAAATTTGTGTACCATCAAAAATAGGCAAAAGCTGCATCTTTCCCTCGTATTTTCATGTACTTATCGTACCTTACCCTCAAGTTCAGTCCCAGGACCAAAATTTTATCATATAATATGGTCATTGGACTTTACTTTGGCGTTTCGGGAGTGCTCGTATGGCTCGCCGTTTTCTTACAATTGAACATCAAAGGTTTTCACTACCTGTGGGGTAAATCCGGACACGAAGGGTTATTTTCTTCAATTTCCCGCATAATGTTAAGGTAGTGAGTTCAAAATTGTGGACATCCATCTCCACCGTTAAGAAGGATAAAGAAAGAACGAAAAATAGCATTGCAGCTATGTTTAAGAGCTTTACTCACGACAGTGTTGTCAATTTAGGGGTTTTGATAGAAATTATTCCTTATAATATGCTTTGAGTAATAATCAAAAACTTCAGTTCGCAGCAAATGTCCTTGAACGCCTTCTAAAAGCATGCCTCACATCAAAACAAGCAAAAGTAAGCTCGAGTAGTGTCAAATTTTAAGGTCGTCCGGCATTGCCCCAAAGGTCGTCCGGAATTACCCCAGCCTGGGGCAATTCCGGACACGTGCAGGGCTTTTGTTAGGCGTTTATATCTCCCTAACCGTTGCTGAGATTTGGCTTTCATGTATACCATTTTGAAGGTAAAGGTCCATACTTTACTCTCCTGTAATAACATTTGACCCAAGAAGCCGGTTCAAGCTCAAAGACCAAAAAGGAAAAAAGCGTTCGGAATTACCCCACTCTCCCTTATGGACGTATAGTAACAATTTTGGCTGGAGAGCCAATTGATTCGTCCCCTAGGATTCCAGTAATCGGCTATTTTTCAAGGAAATTCTAGGAAATTGCCGTTAGTCCGTTTTTGACGTAGCTACGTTTCCAATGGACCGATTTCAACACTCGAAGAATGCTATCCGACGTAAAATTTAACAAGGAATCCAAAACTGCCTTCAGATTTAGCGTAGATGAAAAATGCTTTTGACTTATAGGCCGACAAAGTTAGAATTTTATTTTCACAACAGCTCGAAGTTTTGTTCATTGGCCCATAACTTTTTTCCTCGCTGGATTTTGGGAAATGACCTTTTCTAACGGCTGTTGCCTCCCTCTTTTCGCAAAAAAATGAGCACAAACCATCTCGGTACCTTGAACGGTGTCTGAGATAGGTGGGTGCGAAGCGCGCGCGGTGGCTCTAGGCGCAAGCGCGGGCCCGCCCGGCCCGGCCCTGTGGCCATTTGTGTACATCGAATATGGATAGCCCCGGATAACCCGCGGCTTACCTCCGGATTACATCGAAACATTTCAAGGATTACCATTAGATTACGCCCGATTACCTCAGAATTTCCCCGGATTACCCCGGATTACTTCGAAATTTCTGGTTATCCGGATAACGGATTACCAATTTGCTGTACACCGGAGAACCGAAGTCGTTTCCCCCTCGGTTTTGGGCCATTTTTAAGCAGCCACTGCGTCTGATCCGAGGCGGGCCTTTGTACCTTCTTAACGGCATTTGGTCTTTGGCCCTTTCTTTAGCATGCCTTAAGGCGGAGTGCGATTATGCGCCTTAGTTTGGGAGCAGTTTGACGCACCCCTCGGCCTCGGCCACAGGCGGTGGAGGTCGCGCGCGCCGCCCGGGTAGGCAACCAGGCATTTGGTCTTTGGACCTTCCTTTAGGATGCCATCGTTACGGAGTGCGATTATTCGCCTAAGTTTGGGTGCAGTATTGTCTCAAAGTTGATCAAAACCGACTTTAATGGTATTTTTGAACGTTTTGATCAACTTTGAGACAAGACTGCTCCCAAACTAAGGCGCATAATCGCACTCCGCCTTAAGGCATGCTAAAGGAAGGTCCAAAGACCAAATGCCGTTAAGAAGGTACAAAGGCCCGCCTCGGATCAGACGCAGTGGCTGCTTAAAAATGGCCCAAAACCGAGGGGGAAACGACTTCGGTTCTCCGGTGTACAGCAAATTGGTAATCCGTTATCCGGATTACCAGAAATTTCGAAGTAATCCGGGGTAATCCGGGGAAATTCTGAGGTAATCGGGCGTAATCTAATGGTAATCCTTGAAATGTTTCGATGTAATCCGGAGGTAAGCCGCGGGTTATCCGGGGCTATCCATATTCGATGTACACAAATGGCCACAGGGCCGGGCCGGGCGGGCCCGCGCTTGCGCCTAGAGCCACCGCGCGCGCTTCGCACCCACCTATCTCAGACACCGTTCAAGGTACCGAGATGGTTTGTGCTCATTTTTTTGCGAAAAGAGGGAGGCAACAGCCGTTAGAAAAGGTCATTTCCCAAAATCCAGCGAGGAAAAAAGTTATGGGCCAATGAACAAAACTTCGAGCTGTTGTGAAAATAAAATTCTAACTTTGTCGGCCTATAAGTCAAAAGCATTTTTCATCTACGCTAAATCTGAAGGCAGTTTTGGATTCCTTGTTAAATTTTACGTCGGATAGCATTCTTCGAGTGTTGAAATCGGTCCATTGGAAACGTAGCTACGTCAAAAACGGACTAACGGCAATTTCCTAGAATTTCCTTGAAAAATAGCCGATTACTGGAATCCTAGGGGACGAATCAATTGGCTCTCCAGCCAAAATTGTTACTATACGTCCATAAGGGAGAGTGGGGTAATTCCGAACGCTTTTTTCCTTTTTGGTCTTTGAGCTTGAACCGGCTTCTTGGGTCAAATGTTATTACAGGAGAGTAAAGTATGGACCTTTACCTTCAAAATGGTATACATGAAAGCCAAATCTCAGCAACGGTTAGGGAGATATAAACGCCTAACAAAAGCCCTGCACGTGTCCGGAATTGCCCCAGGCTGGGGTAATTCCGGACGACCTTTGGGGCAATGCCGGACGACCTTAAAATTTGACACTACTCGAGCTTACTTTTGCTTGTTTTGATGTGAGGCATGCTTTTAGAAGGCGTTCAAGGACATTTGCTGCGAACTGAAGTTTTTGATTATTACTCAAAGCATATTATAAGGAATAATTTCTATCAAAACCCCTAAATTGACAACACTGTCGTGAGTAAAGCTCTTAAACATAGCTGCAATGCTATTTTTCGTTCTTTCTTTATCCTTCTTAACGGTGGAGATGGATGTCCACAATTTTGAACTCACTACCTTAACATTATGCGGGAAATTGAAGAAAATAACCCTTCGTGTCCGGATTTACCCCACAGGTAGTGAAAACCTTTGATGTTCAATTGTAAGAAAACGGCGAGCCATACGAGCACTCCCGAAACGCCAAAGTAAAGTCCAATGACCATATTATATGATAAAATTTTGGTCCTGGGACTGAACTTGAGGGTAAGGTACGATAAGTACATGAAAATACGAGGGAAAGATGCAGCTTTTGCCTATTTTTGATGGTACACAAATTTCGTGAAGCGACCACAGCCAAACGGTTTGACCTCCTACCTTGGCGATTTGGAATTATCATTTTTAACTGATTATCTTCCTCTGTTAGGCGGGCTTTTGAGTTATCTTCACTCAAACCCAGTGAAAATCGAAGTGTCCGGAATTACCCCACTCTCCCTTACTACAACTGTGCAAAAGCTCAATATCTGGTCATGACGTACAGCTTTTTTCCGTTAGGCCCACCGCCTATGACTACCCGGGCGGCGCGCGCGGCCTCCACCGCCTGTGGCCGAGGGGTGCGTCAAACTGGTTGCCCACCTGGGCGGCGCCGTGCCTCGCCCTAACGGGGAATTCCGCAGTTTCCAGTGTGGGCTGCTGACCCTTTCCTGCTTATTCTCAAAGTGGAAACTCCAAGGAGTCCGAGTAGGCAACGGCAAAGCGGCCTTGCGACGGGGAAAAGGGTCGTAATTGCCGTTCAACATTTTGTGGCATTTAACATAAATTTGTTGTTTCTTGGAGTTTTGACTGTGTTTGAGGCCCCAAAACTCAAATGCACGTGCAGCATCGTGATCCTCGGGAAATTCTGCGTCCGTTAGACTACTTTATTTGCCGCCTAGGACGTTTTTTGAGGAGGCCATGCCTTTTTAAAGGTTTCATAGAAAAACAAGTTTTTGGGAAAAAGTCAAAAGTTGGGCATAGGGCTAGCTCCTAAACGAGACCCATACACAATATCGGGGCCCATCTTAAAATTAAGCTTAGGGTGTCCCTTAACTGAAAAAAAGTTGAAACGGGCATGTTTCGATTGGGGGCTAGTGGATACGGCCTGTCGCGTGAACCCCTAAAATAACTAAATTTCCGTAAAAAAGTGCCATTTTTTTATTTTTATCGGAACGCTATCGGAAAACCGACGCCAGATTCGGATTCCCCAGACAATTTTGAGTCTAGGAACGTCGATTAGGCTGAAGAAAGGCCGTCGGGGCGGCGAGCGCGACGGCTTTTCCAAAAATGTCGTGTCAATCCCCTTGAATTTTACCCTCTAGCAAGAGTGAGTCATCGGTGTCTCATAGTTACAGGCGTAATTTTTGCGTGAAAAAATTTTGACTGAAAACACTGCAATTGCAAAGGCGATACTTAAGTATATTTTTTTGGCGGTACAATTAGGTATCGCCAATAAGCGGCCTTACTGAACGGCGATACACAGAAGTATCGCCAAAATTTGGCGATACATTAGGGTATTGCCAAAACCACGGCATTAAACAATGGTCTTGTCCTCTTGATTTGTTCGACATTTATTGCCAAATCGTGGCAATGCTCAAAAGTATCGCTAAATTTTGGCAAAACTTTTGTGTATCGCCGTTTTGAAGGCAATACTTTTCCGTAAGGCCGTTTATGGGCGATACTCAATCCTATCGCCAAAAAAGGTACTATAAGTATTGCCGTTGGATTTACAGTGAAGGGCTGAAACTTTTGCTCCAAGCCTTCTCCGGCGTCTATCGCATTTTGCTTCGTGTGGAAAGTCCTCTTTTTTCGGGTATTTGTGCCTCTCCGACATGGGATGAGACCACTTCTCCCTCCCCCAAAAGAGCGAGAAGTCCTACCTTATGGTTAACGGGTTTCCGTTAATATAGCACAGTTTTTGTGCACGTGGTCTCTTTCAATTTCTTTTATACACACATTTTGCCACACACTCAGGCTCTTACTGAGCTTTACATATTAACGTTTGTGCGCATTAATAGGCGTATTAACATTTTTATTTGTTTAGGAAACATTATTGTCAATTTAGTCTTGAGAAATCTGTTAAGCTACTTAACAAAACTCTTTTAATGCGCTCAAACGTCTATGAATGTTCATAAAATGTCGATTGAAGGATGAGAGTGCACGGTGAATTTGTGTAGATCGTTGTAAATGTTTTTTTCTTGTGTATTGACGAGTTTCTTTTCCACTGACAGTTATTGTTGAAGAAGCTGCTGAGGTGTTCGAAAGTCACGTGTTGGTATCCTTGGCTGGTGACGTGGAACACCTAATCATGATCGGTAAGTCCTTTAGACCAGGCAAAATAGATTCCTGGTTGCAATGCGGGGCTATTCTTATTTTTGCTTCACAAGAATGTTAGAATCTTTTTAGATAGAAACTTTGAACTGTGAGAAAAAGGCACGGTTCTTGCAGAACGGGATTCACCATACTTAGAAGTAAGGTGTAACTAAGTACAAAATTTCATTCAAAAACAATATTTGAGGATTTTTAAAAAATGATCATCGTTTCAAAAATGATTTCGTAAAATTTTGTTATTTCGATTGCTTGATGTTGGATAGGGGGCGTCATACTCAGGCGACCTTCGATTTCAGCATACGGGTGTGACTCAAAATTTTCGTTTTTTAGTGCTGAGTTAAGATTCGTGTCGGGTTTTGCGATCGGACTGCGTCTTGATCACCCTACCCGACGATTTATGTCAAAAAGCGGCGAAAATTCGTTTTTTCCCATTGTTTTGCCCCCTTGAGTTCGGGGTGGCGGTTTCTCGACCAGATTCCTTCACTCACTCTAGACACGACTCTTCCAACCACCAGAGTCCATGTGAGCCACCCCATTTGGAGCCTAGGCCTCAAAACATGCCAAAATTTGGTGAGAAAATGAAAATTTTCACCGTTTTTTTGACATTTTTGAGCCATTTTGAGCCCCACATCGCCCCCTTAGGTGACCTGTATGGACAAAAAGTAGGAAGGGTGTGTAGGAAAGGCAGCGCAGCGCCGGGGCATCGCCCGGGGTGTCGTGGAGGGCGGCTTTGAGTCGGCAAAAACAGGATTTTTTCGAAAAAATGAAAAAAAAAATGGGGGGTCATGGGAGGAGTCAATGCTGCGGGTCTGGCGGAGTGCTCTCAACCAGAGGCTTTGTATTTCGATGGCCGATAAAGCAGCGTTAAACGCAGCTAAACGCTACGCCCGGGTGGGTGGGCGGTCGGGGCTCGACGTGCAGGCACCTCCTCGTGGTGAGCCCTGGGTAGGCCCAGCAAACTTGCTTAACGAGCTAAGACCTGCACATTCGCTGCCGCAGCTACGGCGGCTGCTTCGACCATTTTCTTCAATTTTTCGAAAAAATCCTGTTTTTGCCGACTCAAAGCCGCCCTCCACGACACCCCGGGCGATGCCCCGGCGCTGCGCTGCCTTTCCTACACACCCTTCCTACTTTTTGTCCATACAGGTCACCTAAGGGGGCGATGTGGGGCTCAAAATGGCTCAAAAATGTCAAAAAAACGGTGAAAATTTTCATTTTTTCACCAAATTTTGGCATGTTTTGAGGCCTAGGCTCCAAATGGGGTGGCTCACATGGACTCTGGTGGTTGGAAGAGTCGTGTCTAGAGTGAGTGAAGGCAATCTGGTCGAGAAACCGCCACCCCGAACTCAAGGGGGCAAAACAATGGGAAAAAACGAATTTTCGCCGCTTTTTGACATAAATCGTCGGGTAGGGTGATCAAGACGCAGTCCGATCGCAAAACCCGACACGAATCTGAACTCAGCACTAAAAAACGAAAATTTTGAGTCACACCCGCATGCCGAAATCGAAGGTCGCCTGAGTATGACGCCCCCTAATGTTGGACTTCTACCAGTTCGTTTTTTGACGAAAATTTGATTGGTAGCTGCTCCGCTCCCTGACGTCCGATCGACGCCATGCTGGGCTTAAAATGCTCCTTTTTGTAAGGTCTTGACACATGAAAAGTTTGAACAACGTACAACAACGCGTGTGGGAGCAATCTTTTGAAAGGATATGAAAACTTATAAAGGTTTGTGTAGTTTAAGAAAATTTCTTACATTTACCAAAACATTTCTGACAAGTAATGAAAATATTGGTAACTTTCAGAAACTTTATTAAAATTGAAAAACAGGTTCATCAAATTTGAGATTGTTTGCCAATTGCAATAATTTGTTTCTTAAAATTCAAAATTACTATGACTTTAAATATTTGATTCTCATCCTGCCAGTTAAAATTGTGATAATTAGACGCTTAACAACCAATATACGTAAAGAACAAATTTGGATGATCTTCGTCATGTGAAGTCGTGTTTGGAGGCCCTTGGATGAGCGCTTCAGCTGCCTAGCGGAGTCTCCGCCGAGAGGCTTGGAGTCATCCACATCCTAGAGCCCGCCTCGCAGAGCTCACTCGTGGCGCAGTTGGTAGCGTCGCGGTGCAGTAATCCGGAATTCCGGATTCGAAACTGAGATCCAACCACGCTTCCAAGCGACTTCGGCAGTGAAATCGACTACTGCCACACTGCCAGTAACTCGTAACGAACATAAGGCGTTCAATTTTTCACTAGTCTATATTAAATTCTTCTTAAATGCAAAAACAAATTTTAAGAAACAGATGATAACTTTTCAAATATGGTTCTTACTTTTAAGAGGAAAAAGTTTATTACTTTTACTACCAAAAAGTCTTTGTAAATTGCTTCATAAAAAAGTTTCTTGAAATTAAGATGGATTTTTTGAACAGTGTCGCCCACACTGCAAACCTAACTGTCTACTTAGTACACACTTACAAATGCGTGCTTGCAAGTACACACTTACAAACGCATGCTTGGCCAAGTACACACTTACAAATGCATGCTTGCAAGTAGACACTTACAAACGCATGCTTGACGCCGTATAACTCCATGCGTCAAGCATTCGTTTGTAAGTGTGTACTTGCAAACATGCATTTGTAAGTGTGTACTTGGCCAAGCATGCGTTTGTAAGTGTGTACTTGCAAGCACGCATTTGTAAGTGTGTACTTAGTAGACAGTTAGGTTTGTAGTGCAAGTCAGTTTTCGGCCATTTTTAGTGTAATTGCCTCCTTAAGTGTGATGTTTCCACCTTGAGGTGCAAATTCCACACTTCTTAGTAGGTAAACACTCTGAGAAAAAATGACGGTAAATCCTGGATAATTTTTTTGCCAAACTTTACCGTACTTCAAAAACCAGTATCCACCAACAGTCTACAGTATTTACCGTACTTGTTTTACAAAATATTCCGTAGTTTTTTAACAGTAGTTACCGTTCTTTCGTACAGTCCATGCGGTAGGAAGGACCAGATCTGGTCCCAATTAAGGCCGCTCCCAAGAATTGTCCACATCAGGGTCTTGAAAAAAGGGGGTCGACCGACTGAAATTTCATGATTGATTTTATTGCACCTTTCGATAGGTCTCGTCAAGACCTTTTCAACGAGTGGTCGGAAGGGGGGTCCAGGAGTCCGACTTCAGCAGTTACGTACATCAGGATCTTGAAAAACGAAGGTCAACCAACTGAAAAAATATAGCAGTTTTTGATAGGTATTAAAAGCACGGGATTGCCGGGTAGAAAAGTACGGGATTGCCGGGTTAAAAAGTACGGGATTCCTTGTAAAAAAGAGTACGGTGTTGCCTGTAAAAAAAGTACGGTATTGCCTGTCAAAAAACGACGGTATTGCCTGTTAAAAAAAAGTACGGTGAAGTCTGGAGTAATCAGTACAGGATTTACCGTGATCTTTTCTCGCAGTGAAAGTGCTTCGAACTTTGTTGATCTGGGCATTATGGAGATCGCTCTTTGTCAATAGGACTCCTCACTGTGCACACTCAGCTTTTGCTTCGTAACTACAAAGAATGTGGAAGCATTGTAGAATTGTTTCTCATTATGAAGAAATGTTTCGTATTACGGAGGATTTCGACTCGACCAAGCAATTCTTCGCAGAATTTTAATGCCTTCGTTCTCTTTGTATTACGAAGCGATGCTTTGCTGACTTGTAACCATGCACAGGACATTTCTCTCGAAAGGGAAGGGGAAGGGGGCATTGCATCGGGCGAATGTGGTGGAAAGAGACGAAGAAAACTATGGCATCGTAAATTCTACGAAGAATAGCTAATGGCTTCGTTCGTGTTACGGAGCAAAATCTTGTGTATGCTATGAAGCATTTCTGCACAACAGGAAGCAATTCTACAATGCCTTCATTTTTTTCATAGTTACGAATCAAAAGCTTTGTAGACTTTTTGGTTCGATGGGTCCTATGAACAAAGACCTATGTCCTTTGGGCCGCTCGAACAAAGACCGATTTACATTTCCTAACCTCTCAACGCGTTCATTTTGAAGTCCCAGAACAATCCCCACGTTTTGATTCCACACAAGTGAGTCGTTGACAATCATTCTCTAATATGTTTGAATCCAAACCTGCAAACTATTGATTGAGTTGGATGTCTGTTGCGAGAACCACAACATAAAGAAGCGGCCAATGCAGAAACGGCCGAAATGGAGATCGGTCTTTGTTCGAGGGACCCAAAAGACACCGGTCTTTGTTCATAGGACTCATCGGATTGAACACAACACGAAAAGTGCACTTAAGTTTTTTGTGCACTCAGGTGACCATCAGCAACTCCGGCCCAACCCCGCGGTGCACGAGCTGGGGGTCAAGTACCACCTCGACGTCTCCCTGTTCGAGCGCCTCATCAACAACGGCATGCACTACGTGACCCTCTCCACCCAGCACCGCATGCGGCCGGAGTTGGCCAAGCTTATTTCGCCGGCCATCTACCCCGACCTCAAGAACCACCCCTCCGTCGCAGAGTTCCCCGCCGTGCGAGGCGTCGCCAAGAACGTCTTCTTCGTCGACCACACACACCCTGAAGAAGTGGTTCGTACCGTACTTTGGGGTGGAGCAACTTTGTTGTAAAATGAAATTAGTGGCTTTATGACATTTTTTGAATACTTGTGTCAGATGGCTCAATTTGGGGGTAGAAGTTCCTTTCTATTACATAAACTCATACTGTAAGACTAAGGCCTTCGGATACCACATGCAAATCAAGTGGTGAGCCGGATGACCAAATATTAGCATTTAAAAAAAAAATCTGACCAAAAAAAGTGACACTGCAATGTCGGACCTAAAAGGGGTGATTAGTTTTTAGTCTGACTCAGTTTTAGCGAAACACTGAGATTCCAAACGCTATGAGTATAGCACGTATGGTGCAATGCAGCTGAGATATCGCACCATACGTGCAATGCCATAGCCATATTGCACCCTACGTGCAATGCATCCCGAAAAGGCCCTATGCTAATGCATGGGAATGAGGAGGCATTGCACTTCATGTGCAATGCCTTTGCATTGCACAAATTGACGCTATACTCATAGCGTTTGGAATCTCAGTGAACATGCGCTGTAATATGCTTTGACCAATGAGGCTGACAATAGAATGCTGGTGACAATAGACCATTCTAGTCGTGGCCTAGTATGGAACAAGAAGAATCACATACATAAGACAGCTTTTTAGCACTTTTACTTTAAATATTTAAGACCCTTTGCTTGGTAGAAGTTAATGAGAATACTTTATTGTAAATACAACATATCTTCAGTGAATATATGCACTCTAAATGCCCTAAATGAGTCTTTTGTGATTCTTCTTGTTCTTCACTTGGCCACGACTAGAATGGTCTATTAATTTTGTTTTAGCACCTCATTGATGATGTGGATCAGAGGATTTGATCCACAGGATCAGAGGATTGCAGGGCCACAAGCCACAAGAATCAGCCAAGAGGACAAGCTATGATGAGTAAAAATTGTTCTGGTGGGTTTTGTTTCAGGTTAAAGACGCCCAAAGTTTCCAGAACAGTCACGAAGCCAACTTCCTCTCATCCCTTGTGCAGTACCTACTTCATCAGGGATACAGCCCAGCGCAGATCACAGTGCTCAGTGCATACAAAGGCCAACAGTATTTCTTTTCTAGGGTATGAAGAAAGGGGGATTAATCTGTGGCGAAGTTGTATCGGTCACCCTTAAATTTTCTATTTTTTTCCAGCTCAAAAAGCACCACTCCCACTTGCAGGACGTCAGGATGACTGTGGTAGACAACTTCCAGGGCGAAGAATCGGACATCATCCTGTTGTCGCTGGTGCGCAGCAATGCAGAGAACGCCGTGGGCTTTCTGAAGACGGAGAACCGAGTGTGCGTCGCCCTCTCGAGAGCGAAACATGGTGAGAATGCCTCAGCGAGGAACCCAACCGGGAGAGAGGGGGGACCTTTCTAAAATCATGACTTTTTTCTAAGAGGCACTCGTTGAGACCGGCAAATATGTCAAATGAAACTTTACGGTCATGCAATAGTAACATTCGAACGTGAGTCCACCAAGATCAATTCATCCTTGAAACGAGAGAAGAGTAATTGCTTTGGACTTTAAAAACAGCTAATACTGCCACGAAAGTATAATTTCTTTTATCAGAACGTTAATGTTTTTCGAAAGAGGTTCATGGCGTCAAGGTAACTTAAGGGCGTTCGAGGGCGTTGCCATCGCGCATTCAACGACACCCTCAACCCCGTGAAAATTTGTTGTCACTTTTTGACAAAATCGTGGACGATATTTTCAACACTTCCAAATGATGTGAATCTCATCACAATTTTATCATAGCACATTTTTATCATAGCTCCTATATTTACACTGCTAATCCAAGTGTGGACCAAGTCCACGCTAGGTAGCGTGGACCACGGTGGTCCACGCTAGGAAACGTGGACCACTGATGGTCCACACTTGGAAATGTGATTGGCCTATGAGAAGTTCAACGCCGTGAAGCGTGGACCACAGTTCGGTCCACGTTTCCTAGCGTGGACCATTCGTGGTTCACATTTCCTAGCGTGGACCACCGTGGTCCACGCTACCTAGCGTGGACTTGGTCCGCACTTGGATTAGCAGTGTATTGCATGGGCGTGTCAACAATGTCATCAATTGTTTTGATGATATTGTGGAAAGGGGAAATCCCTGTGAAGTTCAGTGTACAAACCAAGTGAATTTCAGTTGAATTTCGCAAAGGAAAACTTACTGAATTTTGAAACGAATTTCCATGAAATGTGGTGAATTTCAGTAAGTTTTAACTTTTTGGTGAATTTCGATGTGCAAATTTGGCTGGAAATATTTTTCCTCGCATTGTTGTAAGGAAAATAAGTCTTAAAATTATCAAAAGACGACTGAAATTTTAACAGTGTAGACCGTAATTGTAAACTTGTACTGCGTGTCTGCTCCTGATGTTGGTGGCAGGGCTATACATCGTCGGGAACATGTCCAACCTGACGGCGGCCGACACGGTGTGGCGTCGCGTGGAGGAGGAGCTTCGGGGCCAGGGCGCCATCGGGCCGGCCCTGCAGTTGCACTGCGACCGCCACGACGTCGCCACCCCCGTGAGCACGGCCGGGGACTTCTCCTTCTGCCCGCAGGGAGGCTGCTCGGAGCTCTGCCAGTCCCTAATGCCGTGCGGCCACCACTGCAAGCAGGTCTGCCACACCCAGGACCTGGCGCACCGAACCGTAATGTAAGATTCTCCGTTTTTAACGAAAGAAAAAAACATGCACTCAAAAACCTTGCGAAGTATTCCCCGGCATTGAACGCCGGCAGTAAAAGTTATTGACTAAAACGTCATTTATACCAATAAATTCGTGAACAGGCCAATAGATCGAAACATCAAATCGTCACAGACGGAATAATCGGTAACATTTACTGCTCTCATAACGTATCACAAGAAAATTTTCGCGAAAGGTTACGGGCTGTTGCAAGTACTTTCAAACAAATTCATGAACCTACAAAATAACTTATCCTCTACACAAGTTTTTTAATACGAGTTATAACTTTTACGCTTGCGATAACGTTCTGATACCCTTTCGAGGTGAGTTACGAATCCCCCTGCTTAGAATCTGCCTGTCTCGAGGTTTACAGACCTGAGCACATTGGTAAAACTAAAGCGTAGTATTACCCTCTGTTTTCAAGCGTAATCAGGTTACGAATGAAATCAGGCGTAATAGGCTCATCCACCAAGATGCTCCCTATCTAAATGCACAGGGGAATTTCCTGAGTATGCTTCATTTCAAGTGTAATGTCTTCAAGCGAAACTTTATGCTTGAATCAAGCATAGAGTTTTGCTTTGGTTTTAACGGTGCAGGCCCAACCAACGTCCTGCCCCGCTAACTGTCCCCAGGTGCAAGGAAAGGTGCGTGCGGCCTGCCTGCGCCCTGCAGCACCCCTGCCCGGAGCGCTGCTCCGTGCAGCCGTGCCCGCCCTGCCTGGTGCCCAAGGAGGAGAAGCTCCCCTGCAACCACTCGGCGCGAATGCCGTGCCATGTTGACCCCGCAACGCACAAGTGCAAGGTGAGTGTGTTCAATCTGCTTGGACACACTGAGAACGAAAAAGGCTTGGTCAGTACGCAATTTTGGGCGAGATATACTTTCTCACCCAAATTTGGGTAAATAAGGTTTCCTCGCCAAATTTTGTCTGATAAAGGGCGATTGGCTGCCTATATGGCCGGACAGTTTTCTCACCCAAATTTGGGCGATGAGACCTTCATTTCACTCCAAATGCACTGTAAAAATGAATGTCCGGAAAAAACGACGGATCCTTCGGCAAAAAAATTGCCAACGGTTCCTTCGTTAATTTACGAAAGTCTTCGTATATTTACCAAAACCTTCGTTAATTTTTTGAACGATCTCTGTCGATTTTACAATCACATTGGAAATTTACGAAGCACCTTCGTAAATCGACGAAGATCCTTCGTAAATTTACAGGGAACCTTCGTTAATAAACAAAGAACCTTCGTTAATATACAGAGATTCTTCGTAATCATACGTCTGGAATTAACGACGGATCCTTCGGCAAAAAAATTGCCAACAGATCCTTCGTTTATTTACGAAGGTCCGCCGTAGATTTACGAAGACCCGTAGTAGATTAACGAAGCCCGTCGTAAATTTACGAAGGGCTTCGTAAATTTTCAACAGACTTTGTACATTTTCGATTTTTCTTCGAATTTACAAAGAACCTTCGTAAATTAACGACGAACTTCCGTTGATTTAAAAAACTTCCTGTTGGAAAGAGACATTTACAGTGCACTTTTGGACATTCCCAAAAACCTTTGTGAAATAATCCGTCGTAAAATCACAACATAATTTTTACAGTGTGTCTAACTAAGAAATTTCCCATAATACGAGGGAAATGGCGCAAGCATAATACGAAGGTGGTTTTTCTTCGTATTGCGAAGGTTCTTCTTTGTATATTACAATTTAAATGCTAAACATATTCGTATTACGAAGGAAAATTGCTTCGTATTATGCTTACGCCGAATCCACTGTAACATACGAACAACATAAGTCAAATTTCATTGTAAGACATTTAGAGTGTACCCAATTTTGGGTGAGCAAGTATACCTCGCCCAAAATTTTAGTCTTTATTATGATTCCTTTGTTCTCACAGTAAAAACTCTACGAAGAATCGCTTCGCAATGCGAAGAAAATGAAGGCATTGTAAAAGCTACGAAGAAATGCTTCGTATTATGAAGCAAATTCCTTTGTAATACGAAGCATTTCTTCATAATACAAAGCAATTCTGCAATGCCTTCATTTTCTTTGTAGTTATGAAGCAAATGCTTCGTAGGCTTTTAAGAGTGCTCAGTGCACTAAATGCCGTGGGTCAACTTTTGTCCTACGATCTATGCAATTTCGTTTCCGTCCGAGCCGTAACCCCTGGATGACAAATTCTGTAAATAAAGGTTTGACATTTTAGACAACAGTCTGCATAATTCGGACTCAATTTCGTGAGTCATTCTCAGCGATTCCGGAACGAATAATACTGGATTTAGGGATGTTCCTTATTTTAAGATCCATCACGATGTATTCTGATCTGATAACTCTGCAGGGCGCATCCGAGTCTTTTGTCTTACTACATTCTAAGCGCATACACACTAAATTACTTACTATGTAGGTTTTCCTGCGCGCTAATGCACGAAATGAAACATTCACTTTGCAACGCACGAAATTGTACGTGGCAATGCACGATTTTTTTAAATTTCGTCACTGCTATTGCAAAGGCGATACTAAAGTACATTTTTTGGCGGTACAAGTAGGTTTCGGCAATAAACGGCCTTACGGAAAAGTATTGCCTTCAGAACGGCGATACACAGAAGTATCGCCAAAATTTGGCGATACTTTAGGGGATTGCCAAAACCACGGCAATTAACAAAGGTCTTGTCCCCTTGATTTGTTCGACATTTATTGCCAAATCGTGGCAATACTCCACACGGTGAAACCGATGTCTGGAAGTTTCCAGATATTTTTTCCCATTTCCAGACATTGTCTGGAAATGTCTACTTTTTCCAGATAATATCTGGAAATGGTCAAATCCCAGATATATATCTGAAAAAAAAAACGGCATTTCCAGATAATATCTGGAAATAAAATTTTCCAGATAATATCTGGAAATTTCCCAGATAATGTCTGGAAACAAAGGCCTTGACGCCGAGGTCCACGGATTTGCGACCTGGGGGTCCCCGATGGTGTCCTCGAGGTCCCCAGGACACGGGGAGTCCAACGCCGAGGTCGCCGACGCTCTAGGACAAGCGGTTCCGGAGATACGAGGACGTACCACAAGGAGTCCGTCAAAGCAACTTTTTAGTTGGAGGCAAAAATCATCATCGGCCTCTGGCTGCGTTCCACTTGGGTGTCCGGGACTTTTGACTTCAGCATCGTGTTAAGGTAGTGCTAGACTACCAGGAACCCGTGAGGGGTCGCCGTCGGACCACCGGTGCGCCCAGGATGCCGACGAACGTGAGGCACGCCGGAGCGCCGTGGCGTGCCGGGTCCCTGAATGATCGTCGCCGCCGCCGCGGCCCGGGTGGCCCGGGAGCACCCCAACGCAGAGCTCAAGTCAAAAGTCCCGGACACCCAAGTGGAACGCAGCCAGAGGCCGAAGCGGCCGTTTGAGCAGACCAACGGCCGACTTAGCACGTGGTGGCGTCGACGGACACGTCGGCGGCGTCGCTGCCAACGGCGTCGGCCCGCGTCGTTCAAGCTCGCGGTTGCGACAGAGGACCCGGCAGCAGCGGCCGCGGCGGCGGCGACGATCGTTCAGGCACCCGGCACGCCACGGCGCTCCGGCGTGCCTCACGTTCGTCGGCATCCTGGGCGCACCGGTGATCCGACGGCGACCCCTGACGGGTTTCTGGTAGTCTAGCACTACCTTAACACGATGCTGAAGTCAAAAGTCCCGGACACCCAAGTGGAACGCAGCCAGAGGCCGATGATGATTTTGGCCTCCAACTAAAAAGTTGCTTTGACGGACTCCTTGTGGTACGTCCTCGTATCTCCGGAACCGCTTGTCCTAGAGCGTCGGCGACCTCGGCGTTGGACTCCCCGTGTCCTGGGGACCTCGAGGACACCATCGGGGACCCCCAGGTCGCAAATCCGTGGACCTCGGCGTCAAGGCCTTTGTTTCCAGACATTATCTGGGAAATTTCCAGATATTATCTGGAAAATTTTATTTCCAGATATTATCTGGAAATGCCGTTTTTTTTTTCAGATATATATCTGGGATTTGACCATTTCCAGATATTATCTGGAAAAAGTAGACATTTCCAGACAATATCTGGAAAAAACGGCCATTTCCAGACAATGTCTGGAAATGGGAAAAAATATCTGGAAATTTCCAGACATCGGTTTCACCGTGCAAATTATCGCCAAATTTTGGCAATACTTTTGTGTATCGCTGTTTTGAAGGCAATACTTTTCCGTAAGGCCGTTTATTGTATCGCCAAAGAAGGTACACTATTCGAAAATTTTTGGTAAATTTACAAAGATTTCACTGGAAATTTTTATAAACGAGAGCTTTGTAAAACGTAGTTGATGAAATATGCCGTAAAGTTCGAAAACTCATCGTAAACATCAATTTACAATATACTTTGTAAATCTACAAAACATTCCGTTATATTTGTGATATTTGTAAGTAACATGCACCCTAGCATGCAGCAAATAGTGTAGGGAAAAAATGTTCGTCGGAGACTCTAAACCAAGACTTTCTGGTCCGCCGGCAGCCTAACTGCCACAGCTCTGCAAGGGCATTTGAAGCTCGATGACCAGCTGGCTTTGGCAATCTCTACGGCGTATTTTGTCAATTTCACAACTGTTTCATTTGTCTACAAAAGGTTTGCTAAAAATATCACAAATATCGTTTTGTGGCCAATACAAGATTTATAATGTCAAAGTACGGAATAATCTCTAAATTTCAAGATACCTTTTTTAAAGAATATTTTAGGAAATGTTTCGTGCTGAAATATTTCGTAAATTAGCAAAAATTTCTAGCAGTGTACTAAAAGTATTGCCGTTGGATTTACAGTGCGTGCGTTGCTTGTGGAGAAAAACCTACTCAGTAATGATGGCACGATAGCAAGCGGAGTTCCGCTGTTACGTTTTTTAGTGAGATATTGTTTCCATTTTCCAATTATATAAAGAATGTCCTACTGCTTCGCAGGTCCTTTTGCCATCCACTTTGCTCCCTTGTGGTCACCATATTGACGTTCGCTGCCATCAACTCGCCCACCTAGCCGAGGTGCCATGCGCAAGCGAGTGCGCCGTCAGGATGCCGTGTGGACACGCCTGCCGAAGAAAATGCCACGCGTTCAAGGACCCCAACCATGAAAATGTAAGCACTTACCACTCACTGTCAGAAATTTCCGAGAAAAAATGGAAAAATCATGGAGTTTTTCCGAATCTTCTGCATGGAGCTCTCTATAAAGGCAAACTCTGGGCTTTCTCCGAAAAGTTTCGGAATTTTTAGCAAAAATGCATGCTTTACTGTCAGGAAACCACGAAAGAAAAAAAAAATTGCAACCAATTAAAAAAATGGGGGAAAAGTGAACCCCTATTTGTTCAGATCAGTTTCCTTAATACTAAGGGAAAGTATTGAACGTGATTATAGAGTTTTTCTCCATACAATTTCGGAGCTAATTTCTAACTCTGCAGTGGTCATGGATCACCACCCTCCCTTAATTCTCCACATTTAAGAAGTGCAGCGTTTGCAGTTTCCACATTTCTTCAAGTGTGGAAGCCCCGCACAGAGCTCTTACCTCTTGCCTCTTCGCATGGAGGAAACGTGGAATAGTTAACAGTGTGCAGACTGCAGAGTCTGCATTTCCACACCGCACCTCCGCATTTTTAGTGTAGGATTCTCCACACATTTGGGTGCAGGGTGTTGGGTCTTTTATCAAACATGGTTTGGTTTGCAGGTGAAGTGCAGGCAGACCTGTGAGGAGAAGCGACATGGTTGCACCTCCAGCCCCCCACACCTTTGCAGCAAATTCTGCTTCGAGGAGTGTGAAGACTGCACTGTCCAGGTGGACAAGACCCTGTCCTGCGGACACCTCCACAAGGCCAAGTGCAACGTGGATGCAGCGACGTTGAAGTGCATGCGCGACTGCGAAAAGACTCCGGCGTGCGGACACAAGTGCAGCAAGAAGTGTCACGAGCCGTGCGACCCGTGCGAAGAAAAGGCAAGTTTTGGCAGCTCGGGAGTCGGTAGTTGAACGGCCACTCCAAAAGTTGACAAGCCTTTTCAAATGCCAAAAGTTTGCAACCCTGGTCCTCAAACTCCACAGCTTGCCAAAATTTGCCATGCAGGGGGCCTGAGCCCACAACGTTGGCAAGCAACGGAAACTTCAGGTCTAGGCTTGCCAATTGGCATTCCAAAGGGCTTGCCAATCAGGTGGCACGCAAACTTGCCACCGGACTTAAAGTGTTCCTGTGCACTGGCGGAAAAAAGTACTCTACTAACTGAAGTGTGTACTCAGTATGCGCCTACACTCCTACAGATGCGTACTTAGCTGAGTACACATCTGCAGATGCATACTTGTATGAGTTGGGTACGCATCTGTAGGTGTGTACTCAGCCAAGTATGCATCTGTAGATGTGTACTCAGCTGAGTATACAACTGTGGATGTATACTTCAGTTTGTAGAGTACGAAACAACTCTGGTCAATAATTTGCCTGGACCGTCCGTGCCTGCCATACTTCGGAACTTCTATGTACTTTTTTCCTGTACCGTCAACGGGGGTACCGTCAACGGGGGTAACTTAAGACACTTTTTCACGTTTTTTGAACGCCAGAGGCAAGATTCTCAACCCAGACCAATGGATCCCAACTATGTTAAAGTTTGACCCTTTCCCCTTGATTTCATGCTTGTCTGGTTCACTTGCCTCGATTATACACTGTAAAAATGAATGTCCGAAAAAAACGACGGATCCTTCGGCAAAAAAATTGCCAACGGTTCCTTCGTTAATTTACGAAAGTCTTCGTATATTTACCAAAACCTTCGTTAATTTTTTGAACGATCTCTGTCGATTTTACAATCACATTGGAAATTTACGAAGCACCTTCGTAAATCGACGAAGATCCTTCGTAAATTTACAGGGAACCTTCGTTAATAAACAAAGAACCTTCGTTAATATACAGAGATTCTTCGTAATCATACGTCTGGCATTATCGACGGATCCTTCGGCAAAAAAATTGCCAACAGATCCTTCGTTTATTTACGAAGGTCCGCCGTAGATTTACGAAGACCCGTAGTAGATTAACGAAGCCCGTCGTAAATTTACGAAGGGCTTCGTAAATTTACAACCGACTTTGTACATTTTCGATTTTTCTTCGTAAATTTACAAAGAACCTTCGTAAATTAACGACGAACTTCCGTTGATTTAAAAAACTTCCTGTTGGAAAGAGACATTTACAGTGCACTTTTGGACATTTCCAAAAACCTTTGCGAAATAATCCGTCGTAAAATCACAACATAATTTTTACAGTGTATCGTTTCCCAGTGGTCTCGAAAGAGTGTCCCAAGTTACCCCATGACCGGGGGTAACTTGGGACAGTAGGCAATTAGCTACATTCCCATGCCTCTATTGATGTTAATGGATGTAATAAATTTAAGTCACATCATGAAGGCCAAGAATTCAGGCCTAGGAACATTGTAGAAACCCATATTGGACTATACTAGGGGTCTACGTGGAACTCTCTTTTTTATGGTATTATCCAAGCATTTTCTGAAAATTTCAAAATATGGATTACCAGAAGACAAAAATGCAGAGCAAGGCATCTCTTTCCATCATCAGCGTAAAATCCGAAGTTTAAGTTTTATCAGGGACCCGGGGCAGTCAACTCCTAGAAAGGGTAGGATGCTGGAAAACCCTAAAGGGAAAAAACGTCCCCCAAACTACCCCGTAGAAATTCGATTTTTTATCAATGAAGTCTGGACCGAAGATGGGAAAACTATAATCAACGCCCTTTTGCGAACGTTATTGTCTGCGTATGATCTAACAATCCAAAGAGACAATCGGCCTAATCTGCATTTCACTCCTTGCACTAGGGTCAACTTGTCAATGATTGACATTTTTGTCAAAAACCCTATTATGTATTCCTTTTCTCAAATACTAATTGTGGTTATGCACCTCTTCCCCTTTTCGCGCGTGCCCTGGGCCTCTGAAAAAAAACCCTGTCGCGGGTTTGACGCTAGGAACCCTCGTCGCTGAATGGCAGCACCAACAAGCTGTACAGGGTAGACTGTCCCAAATTACCCCTTTTCCCAAGTTCCCCTGACGGGGAATAATAGGGTTTTGACAAAAGTCAACTTACAGTTGCCCCGTGCAAGGAGGGGTGCGATTACCGGC